GCTGAAGAACATGAACAAAGTACGTCAAAGAAATCCAAATTACATAAGAGAGACAAATAAACTTGTAAAAACCATCCTCTTTATGAACACTAGACTGTTTTGAAAGGAAAATATAGCAAGAAAATATATATTTGTACCACACCTCCCTGACAAGAAGAGAAGTCAGAAGACTATAGGTGAATGATAGCCAAAACATTCAACTTTCTACAAATTATAAAAGGGGACTTGAAGCAGAAATTAAAGCTATTTTATGCTAGAAGCATCTTCAGTAATTCTTGACCATCTAGCTAAAAGGGCTTACTTTCACTTTAAAGTATCTAGTTTATTTTCCTGAACCCTGCTAGGATCCTTTGCAAAGATACCTACCTTTTAAACTTTTTTTTTTAATCAAATAGTTAATATTCAGCTGTATGTAGTGCCTGATATCAGATCCCACTGGCCTTTTTTTAAAAAGGAACAGAAAGGTTATTTAATATGTTAGGGAATGAAAAGAGAAGGAGATAGATGCTCTAGTGTTGAACTTCTACGGGCTTCTGAGAAAATGACAAGACTCAGTGACACAGAGATACCCTCATTCTCTGCTCAGGTTCAATTAGCTGAAACTAATTACATTCTCTTCCCTAGAGTAATTTTGGAAGCAAATGGAAGAAAGGTAACTCTTCTTCAAAAGAGGAAACATTTAAAGTCCTGATGATATAAATGCCATTGAAAAGTTTTCTACCATTTTCCCGATCTTCACAAAGCAAAAAATTTTCAAGTTGAAAATGCACGAATGTCAGCATAGGTTACTTAATTTGCAGGTCACCCACATCATCTGTGACACACACCCTAAGCTGAACTCTACACCCAATTCACAATATGTGCAACCTGGGCTTTTGGGAAGCATAGTAATATTTGTTTTAATTACAACTTATTCACATTCCCATCTTAATTCATTGTCCTCTATTAATAAACGTGTGGCACATAAACTCCTAAATGGAGTAACATTTAAAAAAAATACACAAGAAAGAGAAAAAAATGAAAACCAAGGAAAAAAAAAACAAACAAAAAAAAAAAAAAACAAAGAAAAACAAACCCCACAACCACACATACTTTACCACAAATACATTGCACATAAGGCAAATTCAGTTTCTGGATCTGTTATCAAGTAATATCTCACAAAGCAAAGAGATAAAATGTTTGTCCCAAAAAGAAAAAAGAGAAGGAACAGATGCAGCTTGCCTTGGCACAACTTATAGTACTTGACAAAGTTTGGAAAGAAAAGCCTGTAGCTCTCTTTTACCTCACCAAGACAAAATGTGCAAATAGCTATAATCCCCTCCTCATTTGGAGGCCAATAAAACAACTGCTAATGCATACGGTATTATAATAGGTTTAACAGTAAAATGCATCCATTTGGCTTTCCCTGGGAATTTGATTTTTTGGACTTGGTGCCCAGTGATCTATGCAATTTCTCAGTTCAGTAATATTAAGAGAAGCTTCATACCTTCTGAAATACCACTCTACTGCTCTGATTGAATAAATTTAATTCTCTCCCTCTCCACCCCCAACTAACATGAAACAGATGGAAAATACATTTTAGTAGAAGCTCTCATAGAATTATTTTCACCTTCAAATATCAATCACTGATCACAGTGTATTCCTTTACATGCATAACATATCAAATGAATTCCACTGTGAGAAAAGTCCAAGCTAGACCTATTGGGAATCCACCACAGTTACCGAGAAGTCCATTGGCTTTTTGTGGTTGGGGTTTTTATGGTTTCTTGGATGATGGTTTTTTGGTTGATTGGATGGGATTTTTTCCACAATAGATGCAATACATAGTGTTAGAAGATGTAAATACATGTAAGTACCTTTCTGGTACTGCTGCTAGGTACTCTTTAAGATTATCATTTAAAATGTACAATTTCCACACCTAAGTCTAGTGCTACACACCATCAGACCTAAGATCAACACCCAGGAAAGAGTCTCCTTGTACATAAGCAAAACAATCTGCAGCTGAAAGTTCAGAGGCTCACCCGGTTTCCTCATGTTTGTTTCACACAGCTTTAAGATTTTGCTATAAATTGCATTTGAGAGCTCTCTGAAATTTGGCTCTCTTATGTATGTTTTAGACCACTGGGGTCACAAGGATTCTTTGGCACTTGTTCAGTGAGAAGTAATCGGTGTACATCCAAAAAGAAAAAGAAAAAAACAAAAATTCAGTTTGAAAGATCAAGCAATGAAGAGGGAACACAGAGGACCTTATTTGCCAGGTAACGTGCTTCACCACTCACTATTGTTTTCTTCCTTATCCTTCCAAGCACTACAAGTTACTTACATTCATTAAAAAAAATAAAAATAAATGCATCCAGTGCAGAGTTGTGTATAAATCAAAATTCAATTGTTTTAGTATCTGAACTCAATAAATTTCACAAACAGGAGAGGACCTGTATGCAAAAGGAACACATTATTCAAACACAGACAGCCAATCAAGCTAGCATAACACAAATGAAAATCCCTGCTGAGTTACAGGCTGAAGAGATATTTGGAACTACAATGTGGTCATCTACTTCTGCCTTTGCTACAACAGATAAGGTATTATTCTGTATCTTTAAAAGACAATCCTACTGTGCTAATTCAGCAGAGCTTTAGCAAGTGTGAGAGAAGAATCACAGACGTCTGCCCATCCTGACAGAGCACAATACTTTCTGCCCTGAGTAGTCCCAAAGAAGTCACACAGCATGCCAGGTACAAAGTATTTGCAGAAGTGAGCCCTCAGACAGGGCTACAAAAGCTCTGGGTTAAGGAAGCACACACCAACTTGCTTCCTCTTGATCTGTTACACAGCTTGACAGTAACAGATAGCCAGTTGCATTAGTGTCAATGTACAGATAAGTTTCCCTCAATATCTGTCACAAAAAACAGACGCCGTATCAGTGTGCCAGCTGCATTATCGGTCACTACATAGCTGATCATACTTAATAACATCCTCGAGCCCCGACAGGACACGCAGACACAATTACAAGCGTGTGCCACCGTCACCCAGATCGGTCTGACTCGGAGCTGCCGCCTCGGCGCGCACTCCACGAGCGCCTGCCCACCACCTTTTCCCTCTCCAGCACATTAGCCTGCCTCAATATGGGGCCAGAGTTTGTTTTGAAACTCTTAACAGGATCACTGAAAGAAAAGAGGAAAAATACCATAAATGATCCTCTGGACTGCTTCCAGAGTAGCGTGTTCTCCTAGCGATTGCTTTGGAAGCAAGCCAAAAATAGGAAATGTTCTTGCAAATGAGCACGCCACCAGGCTCAAGTACAAGTTATCATTTAATTCTTTTGTCAACATCAGCACAGTTAGAAATTAGGAAGCCTGTTAAAAAAACAGGTTACTTGAATTCCAGTCACCAAACACCAATTTCTTCTCTATCCATCCCTGTCATGCTCACTCAGCTCATGTCCCTCACCCCCTTATATACACTGGAGGTTTTTGGGGATATTTTCTCTCCCTTATTGAAAGTCAAATAAAATTAGTATATTAATTACATCAAAGATAACTAGGTCTGTAATCAAGAGCAAATTAACTAAAAAAAGGAAAAAAAATCAGTCACTCAGAAAAAAAATCTAAAACCTCAACACGGACTTCCACAGAACACAGCACTTAATATTTTTAACAGACCTCTAATACAGTGTACTGAACAGTTTTGCCGGGGCAGTTTTTCACATTACAATTACTCCTAATGAGATCACCCTCTGCAGTGTTTAAGACTTCATCCTTTCCCAACAGAACAATGAAAGATTTGTGTGGAGCTACAAAGACCTCAGATCAACTCCACTCACTTCACCTTCTCCTGAATTTCCTCATAGGAACTCATCAAAAGCAGAACTGTGTTTTTTCATGTGGACAAACTATTAATAAAGAGACTCATTTACTTTTTTTTAGGATGTCCCAAATCCTCAACAGTTTTTGAAGCCCTCATCAGACTGAGGCACCTCAGACTCAGTGAGCACTGCCAGCTTTGTTTTTGAGATGATGTAAATTTCTCCTCTTCACAGATTTGTGGGGGCTCTTCCACTTGTTCACTTACAGTATTTCTCATCAACAAACATCTGCCTATCTTGCAATAAACATATGGTGATAGAACTCCTTGTATTATCTTGTGATAAAAATGATAGATCTTGTACCAAACAAACTGCAGATTCTCTTGTTCTCACTGGAAGTAAAGACAATAAAATACTTTTTCTCATGCTAAGCAGAAATGTCTTATGCCTACAGCCCCAGTAACAGCAAGGCTAGGGGTAAGTATAATTCTAGGAACATGATTAACTGAATTAGTCTTGAATCAGGAAGTACAACTCTGTACTGCAAGTCTCTGATCTGCTAGTATTTTAAAATGATCACAATGATTCAACTGAAAGCCAAAAATTTAGAGTGAGTTTTGTGCAAAAAAAAAATAATAGAAAGGATAACATACTTTATTCTGAAAATTTTATATTCTATTTGAAATATCTGTCTTGCATTTAGTTTTACACACTTGACACAAACCTCTAGCTCGGTTTTGATTTTGGGTATATTCTTCCCCTTACTAACCACACCCATTCTGTCTACTACATCCATTTTTAGCTTCCTTATAATTATGTGAAAGAACAAACTGTTTACCTACTCATACCTGACGTGATTGCTACAGTGTTCTGCCATAGGTATGATTTACTCAGCCTTACCAAAAGGTACAACAAACACATTAATCAGTTAATAATTTTAGTCCCGAACCTATCTTTATACTTACAACTTCAACCTTTTTCTTTAAATTTAAAACCGCATTGCTCAACCACTGATTTTCATAATCAGACAGACTGACCGATTTAGATTAACCAGTGTGAACTTCACAGACTGAGGATCTGAAGACTTTAAAAGCAGACTGATGATGCATTTCTCTCAAAAAAAAAAAAAAAAAAAACACAACAGAAAAATCTGGTAGATCATGACCTACAATTTACAGCAAGTTGTGGTTTACTTACGTTCACACGTGTCTCCTTTCTGCTGGTATCCTGCTTTGCAGATACACTTTCCAATAGGCACTAACCACTCTCCCTCCGCGCTACAGTGCATCTTCGGCGAGTTCTCCGCCTCCTCCTCCGCGCTGCTGACACAAGTTCCTCGCACTTCAACTAAAGAGGAAAACTCTGAGCCAGTCACTGTGTCAGGAAAAATAGCTAAGTTCTCAATGATGGACCAGCACTTCTTGTAGTAGACTTTGACAGAGACCAAAGCAATGCAGGCCCCTACGTCCTGAAACGCAAGATAGAATCCTTTTTTGGACAAAGGTCCAATTTCTCTCACCTCTGTGTTAAGTTTCATTTTTCTCTCCCCAAGATCACCCTGGGTAAAACTTTCATCTGCTGCAATAGTGTCTATTTTTACATATTGGTTTTCTCGGATACTCCTGCCAGTGTCGTAGTCTGTTTCATAATAATACAAGTTAAAAGTTTCTTTACAAGTCCCCAGAACTCCAGGAAGACTGTTACAATCCCTCAGAGTGAATTTCAGTTCTACAAAAATCCTTTGTGCATTGCTTTTTGCAATCCAGTTAGTCCGAAGCCAGTTGTTTTGGTTTGATTCCATCACCTGGCATACCTGGTATGTTCGTATAGGAGTGTAGTTTTCATCCAGTCCACTAATTTCTTCCCACTAAAATGATAACAAACAGTTAGTAGTAAACAAGAAGTATGTCATCAGTTGTAACTACTGAGTATTTAAAAAAGTTTCGCACAACTCACATTTCCCTTCTTTTTAACAGTAAGTTGTTAAGAATACTGTTAAGCACCTAAATGAAGAAAATATATATTAATGCAGGAGTAGGCTCTCTCTCCCTTCATGTCTTTCCCACATACAACTTCTAAAAATCATTGTCATATCATGGGCACAGTTGAAAAGGGGCAGATTCAGGAAACGCTGTTTAGCATACCAGGTTCTGATTTCACCCTGCGCTCACACACATTTCTTTAACGTCCCAATGGTTTTTTAATGTCACAATGGAGTGAGCAAAGACCAAAAGGAGGGAGGCAACTTCTTTTTCAAAGAAACCTAATGTCAGTGAAGTCTTAGAAACTGAAATTGCTTAGCATTAGAGTACATAAAACTCATGCATATAAAGCTTCCAGTGAAACTTGCAGTTGTACAGAAAGCATGGGATCAGGTCCTGAAACACGAGTCAGATGATTCCCACCCCTATGTGATCGAAATGGCATAGAAAGAGGGCAAGAGAAAACTGACAGAATTAAAAATCTGAAAGAAAACAGTTTAGTTGTCTCCCTTTCTTTCAGTGTACCTTCTGCTTTATTTACAAACTGAAAATGTAAGTAAGCCACTGTTTGTCCAGGGGCTGCAAGCTTATTAGAAGGGGCAAACTTCATTTAGCTGGTAGTTCCAATGAACCATGAGACTACATACAGAATTAGAAACAACCTGTATGACTGAAAGCTCTCTGGTTCAAAGCCTGAGTTTTGTTGATTCTCTCTCTTTAGGTTACCAACTGTGTAACGAGCTGGTAAGCCTTTAACAATCCCAGAGTCTTTAACAGCCTTTGGTAGCGTGGGAATTTGCACCTCCAGCAATGGCAAACCTTCCACTGAAATCAACCAGGCAGATCTGCCCAGGTGTAACCAAAACAATCCTCCTCTCTCACCTTTTTTCACATTTCTTGTAACATTTTAGTGCCTGCAGAAACTGCAGCTGTAGTAAATTAGAGGAGGGGGGTGAGCTATCATCACCCCAGGATACAGGCAGCCATGACTTCTCCGGATGGCACTCAGCCCTCTGGCCCTGTGTCAATAATGCACTTAAGCTCACGCTTAAGATCAGTGACTGTACTTATGAGCTTAATGGTAAGCACATGCTTAAGTGCTTTGTGGGACTCGTATAGTCGGCACCTCTGCAGGAGAGAGCATCCACTGACATTCCTCATGCCGGCAACCAAGCACGGAAGGCATTGGCTTCCCGGATCAGGAGCCACACAGTGCACATTACTCTGCAAGCCTATTTGACAGCAAATGAGACCATTTTCACGTTGTTGTCTGTTTCAGGAAAAAACAGATGTGGCTGAATTGATGCTGGAAGTTATCACCACAAAATATATCACAGTTGCAGATGCTGAAATGCATAGAAGTTGTAAATATCAAAGCACATTTCAAGGACCTACAGTTAATACAGATGAGATATATACAGTATTATATATTATATGCATATGGAATTAAATGATTGAAATAGATTATTAAATGCTCATGGAGTTAACTGAAGTGATTGCATATGGAACAGTATTAACCTCTGAACAAAAGAATGTCTATCTTCATAACAGATTTATTAGAGCTGAATGAGTAATTTCTTTCACCTCTATAAAAGCTAGAAAAAACAGGACCCTGGACTGAGAGGGTTTTGGCTATATTACGATAATAAAAAACATCTCCCCATTAAAAAAAAATCCCATCAAGATGACAAAAAAGGCATAAAGCCTAAAATTTTGCCAGGTAATGCTATGTCCTTTGAGGTTTCTTTGAGATGGTTTGGGGGTTTTTTTTGTTTTGTTTTATATTTTATCTTGTGCAAGCATTCTTCCCTTAAAACACAAAGCCAGATTCTGCAAGGAGGTATTCAGTAAGACAATGCATTCCATCTTTGACATGAAAGTGACTCTCATGCACCACACAACAGAATCTGTCTCCTTGAGTTTTGATGTAGACTGCTCCACCAAAACAAATTCCCATTCCTCCTCAAAAAAACCAACACACTGAAACAAACAAAAAAAAAGCAACAAATAAAATACACTTTACAAAATCAACCTAGTCTTTGTAATACAACACAAATGAGTTTTCTCAGAGTCGAAATCCTACTACGTGAGACTTGCTGGCATCAAATAGATTCTTATTTTGCAATCAAGGGAAATAATACATTTCACACAAGAACCACTACTTTTTCTAATCCCTAGCACTAAGGACTGGAACTATTTTTCCATATTTTGCCAAAGCAAAAAAAAATTAGGGAAATGTGATTTTCATGCAATTAGGCAATCAGAGTGTCTGCAGCAAAAAAAAAATCATTACTTCAAGATGTTTTCACCTATGGCAGGTGAGGTCACCATTCATTGAAGTTCTTATAGTGAACAATTTCACAGAAAGAAAACTCCACTTTTCTTCGTCTTACTGCAAAATATGGTGCTATACATGCAAATCTGTTTGAATATGCCCTGTTCTATTGGTTTCAATTTATGGTATTTTAACTTCTTCGTTATCCTAACAGAGTTAAATGTAGCATTTGCAGTTGAATGAGGCATTTAACGAGTGTCTGACTGATATATTCTCTACTGTGATTAAGCAGTAGTTTCTCTCAAAATTTTCTGTGCTCATTCCCATGAAGTCTTTATTGCATAGTAAATAATTCAGTTATTTTCAAAATTACATTATTAAAATGGTACTTTTATGTTCATTCACAGACAACTTTTTCTGAACACTTCCACACATGCAAATCTAGCCATTAGTTTTGATTCACTTTTAATTTGTGATTGAAATTCACTTCTACCTCTGAAACTCGCTTTTCACTATTTGTTGAATTGGACTCTCATCTTTCAGTATGATGATGTGCAACACGTGCTGACATGTCTTTCGTTATCTACAGGTTAGCTTAATATAAGTGTCACCAAGGTGATCTTCCAACCACCTCTGGCAAAGGTTTTAATCAGTGCAAAACACTAATGCTGAGGTTATTGGCCATCATACACACTGAGCCCGTGCTACATTCCCTCTGAAGTCCTTAGATTAGTTCCCAGTTTATGCTTGTATTGATACTACAGTCTTGCTTTTAACGAAAGACACGTCCACATTTTCATTCTCCTTATTTAAAGGATTTGTTACACTTTTATATCCCTACTCACACTTCACGCTCTTCTGGCTCCAGATTTCTTAATGAACTGAAGATTAAGGGACTGATCCCCCAAGTTCTTGTTCATGCAAGGCATCACAATAGATTCAGGAAGACTGTTTCCATGAGCAAGAACTGTCCATGTAATTTATGATTTGTCAGACTAAGTTCATGTAGGACTGAGTTAAGATAGGACAATATATCCATTATATCTTTCTGAAAATGTTCTTCCTCAAGGCTTGAGGAAGGTTTTATAACACTTTTAATTCAGACTGAAAGCAGGATTTTCCAACTTTACATATATAATAAATAAGACAATAAAACTGATGTCTCATTTTTATAATGGTGTAATTTACAATGGTACATTTAATAGAAGGCCAAAATATTAATTTGTACGCAAGCTGGAGGTGGCCTTTACCACATAATTCATGCCTACTTCCAGATATCAAGCTCCTCAAGGCTTGGGGTTGTTTCAAGTTTGGAATGTCATTTCAAACACATCTGCAGTATAAATGTTTTTATTTTAGAGCACTTCAATCTGTGCTATTCAATTACAAAGAAAACATCGTAAACAAATTTATGATCACCCATTCTACAGAAAATGAAAAACATATTTTTAGAAAGTTTCCACACAGAAGCAGATCTGTGCTTTAGTAAGGGAAGAAAAAAAAGTGATTTAAAATACTGTGTTACAAATATACAGTGTAATCCTTTGTACAGCACAAAGAAATACACTAAAAAACAAAAAAGTAACAAAAGTTTCCAAAGAGCCACTTGTTTTTAATTGGCTTGTACATTTGTACAGTGTAACCTGAAGTTTCACTCTAAAAATGAAGAAGCCATAAACACTTGGTAGGATTACTGAGAGAAATATGAGGGGGAACTAGTTTAAAGCAGGTCTTTCAACTGCTTCGATATACTGACTACTCATCTTTAGGAAATTAAGTTTTGCCTGCAGTACTTACCCCATTGGGAGGAGAGGAAATCCATTCCAACTCTGTCTGTTGTGCTTTAGAGTCCAGCAGTATTACTAAAAAAAGGAAAAAAAAAATAAAATTCCACAGCTTGTTAAACATAACACAGGGGGATTTAAAACTAAGGAACAAAAGACAAATTTTAAAAAGTGATAGAATTAACATAATTTTTGTATGGATTAATATTTCTTCTTCCTATTGTTAAAAAAATTAGCTGCAACACCAACTAGCTATTAATTTGTAAACAGACAAATGATTCTCTACCATTCACATATAAGCAGATACACATATCTGCTTTTACTCTATCTGCTTATACATAAGAGTAAATACATAAATCTTTACAATTTCATTGCTTAAAACAAAGTGAGGGATTTTTAGTGCTCTGAAGTGCTATTAATCAGTCATTAAGATGCATGCTCCCTCCTTCTCCTTTTTCATAAGGACATTTTCCATATGCTGGTCATTACAATCAGCTTAAAGCACACAGACATTTCAACACATTTCCAAATTGTTTTATACAGGACCGGTCTATACCTCGCTGAGAGTCACATTGAAAAAGCAATGATCTTTTTTGAGTGTCAAAATGAAAATACTTTCACAAGTATTTTTATTTCATATTACCTTATATATAGGTAATATATATACCTTATTTCATATATAAGGTAATATTACCTTATTTCATAGGTAATAGCAATAATTCTGCAAATAAATGACGACCAGGAATACAGAAAATAAAAGACTCTGCAATTACCTCACACCTCGCATACACAAAATCAGACTAATTCACTTTATGGTAATAGCATCCTAAAATCTTCACATTATAGTGACATTTATATACAGAAAGACATCAGTTCCAGCAGCACCACAACTATTTTCAGCTAAATGTAACCCTACCTCCAAAAGTGGTTAATCACAGCCTAATAAACCAGCTCTTTAGTAGCATTGAAGCCAATTTGAAGCTACTCCATATACCTCTAGCTAGTAGGCTATTTATAACTTCATACACAGCATTTCTGCGCTAAGATATTTAGATGTGTGACTTAAGGCTGTAACTTGAAGCAACTTTTGCAGGTCTAACAAAACAGTTTTAATTCTAGCTTTGGCCCTTTCTCCAAGGAGAATTTAATACAAAATTACAGCGAATTACTAAAAAGATGCCTAAAAATTCATTCAGCAATACATAGAATGTTAGCTGAACACAAAAAGGTAGCTTCAAGGCCTGTATTTCAGTAATGAAGTGGAACTACTCATTAAGGAAGTTTGATAGTCTCCCTCTAGAAAGATTACCTGCTTATGTCATTAAAGTTGGATTCAAGGGGCTTTACTTTGTAACACTTTCTATAGAAAAGCAGGTGGTGTATGCGGCGGCTTGTTAAACAAGAACATTTATTATGGTACTGGAAAGAAAGGTACCACCAAAAATTTAACCGTTTCAGCACCAGCACGCTACGGCTGCAATTCATTATACTTTTTATTTGGCAGTAATTCTCCATCACGTAGCAACGGGTGAGCACATCAGAGAAAGAAAAGATAACAAGCAAACAAAACAAACAAAAAGAAAACTCACAAAGAAACAAACAAAAAGAAACCCCAACACAGAAACCCCTGCTCAGCAAACACCCCTTGTAAAGAAATCGTGGCGTTCCTTCTGGCATCCAGAGTTACCGGGGAAGAGCTTCCCAAGCCAGCGGCTGCTCCCTGCGCGGGGCGACCCGCGGCTGTCACGGCTCGT